TAAATAAGGGAGCTGGAGAAATGGCTCAGTGGTTAAGAGCATTGACTGCTCTTACAGAGGACCTGGGTTCAATTCCCAGCACCCCACATGGTGGCTAGCAACCATCCATAACTCCAGTTCCAGGGGATCTGATGTCCTCTGACCTCCATGGGCATTGCACTACATGGGTACACTTAGACACATCAGGCAGTAGTATGCTTGTACACATAAAATGAAAAAAATTAGACCTCCATGGGCATTGCACTACATGGGTACACTTAGACACATCAGGCAGTATGCTTGTACACATAAAATGAAAAAAATTTAAAAGGCCAGGCATAGTGGTACATGCCTTTAATCCTAGCACTTGGCAGGCAGAGGCAGGCAGATCTCTGAATTTGAGGCCAGCTTGGTCTCCATAGTGAGTCCAGGTCAGCCGGGGGCCTACAAGGAGACCCTGTCTCCAAAAGATCAGGAAAAAAAAAAGCCAAGGAGCTGGGTGGGCTTGGTGCATTCCTTTCGTTCCAGCACTTGGGAGGCAAGAGCAGGTGGATCTTAAGCTGATTAAGGCACTTGCCGTCAAATTTAGACTACCCGAGTTGGATCTTCAGGACCCACGTGATGGAAGGAGAGAACTGACTCCCAGATGTTGTCCACACATGCCCTGTGGCACATGCCACACAAATACATACATAAATTTTTTTAAATTATTTATTTAATAACCATATAATTAGAAGAAGCATTTCATTACAACAGCATTAACATATTCAATAACAATTTCCAGAGCAAAGATGCTTCTCTTTCAAAATTAGCTGTAAATTTTGAGGTTCACAGTTAAATTAATACAGTTATACAATATTGAACTCAGTATAACCCTTATAAGACATAAAATTAAATGAGGTTTTAAACTTTGAAAAAGATCTCCATTTCATTATTACAATATTTTCATACAGAAAAATTCATTTTTAATACAATTGACACTAAGATGCACATGTGTTTTTAATCTCTCTATATTTGATTATTACTAGTTACTTTCTGAGCTCCTTGGTATCTGAGCATGGATATAAAGTCATCAGGTAGATTTCAATGTTAATGTTTTTCACGTCTACTAATTATTAAGGAGCAAATTTTTATGCTTTGGAGAATTATTTTGTTTTTTCCTTTTTTCTTTATACA